GAATGGCTAAATGTCTTATTTGAAGTTATTCATAAATGAATTTTTCCCCTTACTTATATCTGAAATTGTATATTTTTAATTTTTTTCCTTTTGCAGGGTCTTCTAAATGCATTGAGAGACTTGGCCCCACATGCTGAGCACAGAAATTGTGCAAGACATATGTATATGAACTGGAAGAAGAGTTTCAAAGGGCTCACATTGAAAACCATTTTCTGGAAGATTGTTATGAGCACTCACTTGGGGGACTACAACATATATTTGGAAGATTTGAAGTCTGAAGATCCAGATGCTTATGCTGATTTCATGAAGAGAGATCCTACCAAATTTTGTAAGGCTTACATTTCTCCATTGTCTAGATGTGATATGATTGAGAACAATGTGAGTGAAACATTCAATGGACTGATTGTCAAGGGTAGAATCAAGCACATTATTAATATGCTTGAGTTTATTAGAAGTGAGTTAATGAAAAGACAACATGACAAGTTGTTAGGACTTTGTGGGCATACAAATCAAATTTGTCCTAGAATATGAAAGAAGTTAGAGCACAACAAATACATGTCTAGGAACTGTATCACAAAGCCAGTTGTTGGTGAAAGATTTGAGGTTGTGCATCAGGATGATCAGTTTGTTGTGAACTTGAAGAACAAGACATGTACTTGCAGATATTGGGATATTACTGGCATACCATGTGTACATGCATGTTCTACAATACATTTCCAACATCAGGATCCTGTAGAGTTTGTGTCTGAGTATTTCTCAGTTGAAAGGTATTTGCAGTTGTACAACTTGTCATTAGAACCTTTAAATGGGAAGAAATTGTGGCCAGTTGCACAGGGTTACCCAATTCTTCCTCCTTCTTTTAAAAAGATGCCAGGAAGGCCAAAAAAAGAAAAGAAAGAGAGCACCTAAAGAAGAAATGAATTGTGGGACTAAGTTGAGGAGATTTGGGTTGGCTATGACTTGTCAAAGATGTTTTCAAAAAGGGCACAATAAGAAAACATGTTCTAATCCTCCAGTGGAGAAGCAACCAAAGGTTATAATTTCTATTTGAAGTCTTATTTAGTCATGTTATGATTTTCTGTAAGTTGAAATTAATATCCATTTTTTTTGTTAGAATCCAAGGGAAAGGCCCAAGAAGAATGTTGGATCACCAGTTCAAAACACAAGGCAACAGTCAAGGCCACAGTCAAGGCAACAGTCAAGGCCATAGTCAAGCCAACAGTCAATGCAACAATCAAACCAACAGTCATCTTTAACTCAAAAGGAAAGAGCTCTGGTAATAGCATTTTATTTTATTAATTAATGTTCAATTGATATTTTATTTCATATATCATATTTTTCTGTGATGATTTATTGTTATAATTGTTTTTGTTTTTAGGCAAGAAAAGGATTTGGTATCCTTCAGTCTGAGGAGACTGGTAATACATACATGAGGGTATGTCTATTACTTCAATAGCTTTCTTTCTTATCTTTATCATTTTTGCAATCTCATGGCTGGTTTGATACTTAAAATGTCATAAATGCAGTTGACATCAGAAAGAAGAGTACATGTCATTTCTGACAGAGGTGCTGGTTCTAGTAAGACTAGAGGAAAGGGGAAAATGCAAAAGGGTAGGAAGACTAAGGATACTTTAGGCACTCAAGAGAGTGTTTCTCGCAAAGGATGATTAGCTTAGATATCTTTTGAAGTAATGTTGATTTTTGGAGTACTTTTGAACTGTGGATGATTGACTTAGATTTACTTTTGGAGTGTTGTTGATTTTTGGAGTAGTTTTGAACTATGGATGAACTTTTGCTTTCTGTTTTAGGCACTCAAAATAGTTTAGCAATGATGGATCTTTGTGAATGTAATGATGTTGAATTATGTTTTGAACAATGAATGATTGTTGAAAGAACTTAGTAATGATTTTGGAGTGTTGTTCATCTCAGATTTCTTCTTTAGATGTAGTGTTTTGTTGTGTTAAGTCTGTGATGTTTTAGAAGTAAGCAGGTGTAAGTATTGTGTAGTGTAGTTGTAATGTTTAGAGTGCTGGATCATTGTAATGTTCATCTCGGTTTCCTATAGTGTATTGCTTTGTTATGTTAAGTATGTGATCTCAGTTTCATATAAATTACAAAACATAACAAAAAAAAAAGACAACAATGAGATAAAACACAACAATAGATTACATTAGTTTTTAAGTTCAATACATCCACCAAATGAAATAAAACAGAACAATATTCAAAGCAACATTTGAGGCCCCTGCTTATGGCTAGATTTCCCAACCAAACTAAGGAAAACGATCAGTATAACCACAAACAAGCAAATCATTACAAAATTCATCTTCCTTTCCAATTTATGCATAAGTGCTAATGTATTTTTCATAACCAGCAGGACTTCATTGTTCTTCTGAACTTCAACCTCAAGTTCATTCAGTTTTTGTTCAAAATCAATACCACAATCCACAATTTTATCTTTTTCCAATGCCTTTCCATTGTACATTTTTTCCATTGCAACCTTCTGCCTCAGCTGCTCTTCCAAATACTCGTTTTTAGATTTCAATCGCACAACACAAGATTTTTGGAACTCAGGAAGTGCGGGATCAATCCACTCGAAAAACCGGCAGTCTTTCCCTTCCTAAACAATGTATATTGAAAAATTAGGGTTTATCAAATTGGGGGTTTTAATTAAATTTATAAAATTTGGGGGTTTTGAAGAAATTAGGGTTCTCACACAATATACGTAGATCACCTTCCTCTTAGGACATCTATGGAACCTTCTACATGGATTCTCGTACGTCATGGAGGTGAACACATCGGCTTCGTCGCCATGGCGACAGACCTTCTTCGAAGGAACACTGAAGCTTCCAGAACTCTGGCTTGCGCGAGATGATGACGACATCTTCTACTAGCACGATTGTGGCTTGCGCGAGCTATCGTCTGCAAGAAAGAAAAAAGCCACTCTTTAATTTAGGGTTAATCGATCGATTTGGGAAATTTGTGAAATTAGAGAAGGAAGCATTTTTATAGCGGTTTTTCAGAAATTCCACGTATTCTACTTATTCTTACTGAGCAAAGTCAAAATTACACGTAGATAAAACCAGCCAGACACGTTGGCACCTTTTCGTCGTCCGACGGGTTTTAAGTCCATTTTGCAAAAGTAATACAAGGCTGAGATTATTTTGCATTTATCTAGAAGTTTGGATTAAATTGCCAAAAGTGAAAAGGTCAAGGTTTTATTGGCAATTAACCCTTTCCTTTATTATAATTTTTTGTCAAAATATAATTTATAGCTTTTTTATATTAAATAATACCGATTTTATCAAAAAATGTCGACCAAAATATTGGCTAAAGTACCGGATAATACTTGTTTTTTTGTTAGTTCTTATTCATATATATATATGTATATATATATATACATATTTTTTTCGAAACGATAGATTCATTAACTAAAAAACACATAATTATAACCGACTCACTGGCCGAAATAGGAGGACCGCCCAAAACAGCCTATAAACCACAACTCACACTACTATACGAAAAAGAAAAATAAAAGACTCCCCACAAAAGAATACACAAGCTCCCCATAGGAGAATAACATAACTCCCCATAAAAGAATAACACGAGAAAAATCACTCCACAAAAGGAGAAAAAACACACCAAACAACATCAAAACACTACCAACTAAAACACCACACACAAATAACAAAACTAGAAAAAAACTAAACGGTAACAGGCGCTCCACCCCCGCTAGCAACAACTGAGCCCCACTTGCGAACGACCACGACTGGAAGACGAAAATCTCAACCAAGATCTAGAAACTGCATCAGAGGCCTAACAAAACCCTGGCCAAAATGATCCAAACCTCCGTCAATGCGAGCCACTTCACTCCTCACGAAAGCGCCATCTGGAGAAATCCCCAAACACCAAACTAGTCAAATCCAGTCGATCGCCACCTCCAGCAACCTACCATCTTGACTGTCGAACCACTCGCCCATCACCAGGAGACGGGGGGGTCCGGGTGAGCTCTCCAGACCACAAGCTCAGCCACCGTTTGCCTCCGGGCGACGGAATCCCACCTTCGCACCGCCATGGCCACCGGGAGGGGAGACATGCCGCGCTGGGTGATATTTCAAACACAAAATATAAATATCAAATCGCACTTCAAAGCTCACCTCCAAACATGACACTTCTAAATTTTTTTAAGAATTCGCTCTTAGGTTTAATGTGATTATATTCTTACTAAATGTAGTATTATTTAAGTTTACTTTTATATTGTAAGAAATGGTGGGTAGAACGGTGCAGTCCGACGTACAAATTAAGCCTAAATGAGATTCCATCCTAAAACCAATTAGTTACAGGAGGAGTAGTACACTAAGTTATGTCTGTTTTTCTTGTATAAATAATGTGTGACAACTCGATATTCTAACATATATATTATTTATATATTAATAAATTTAATTAATATTTAAAAATAGATCATAAAATTAATTGAACCGTGTACGATAGTTTAGTTTGTTTGATATGATCACGTGAATTTACATCATAAAGGTGAATATTAAATTTTTTGAATTTAGAAACGAAAAAAAAATAAAAAAATTGAACCTTCTACGGAAAGTGGCCTAATAACCACAATAAATGACGAAAACAAGCAATTACCTTTTTCTTGGAAGTCAACGTTGGAACAACGTCCAGTCGTCCACCATTCATTAAAAATATATTAAAGTCGGCCAAATTGCAAGAACAAGAAGAAAATTCCAACAATTGCTTCACTCATAATTTCTCACCAAATCCACAATTTGCTTTTTTTTTTTT